AATTTTCTTCTTCATCTCTCCCTCCTCTACCCATAACCCTTCTGCTCCTTCTTTCCTTCTTCTCTTCCCAAAGTTCCTTCCTTTTCTCTTCAACTACTCAATTTCCCTTAACTTCCTTCGAAATTTAATCCAAACCCATATCCAAAAATCACTTTTTTCTTGTACTTGCAAAAGAAGCTAAGATAATTGTGTGGTAGGGCATTATGGGTAACTGCTTAGATTCTTCTGCTAAAGTTGATGCAGCTCATAGCTCTAGAAACACTTCTGGTAACCTCATCTTGTTTTCCACTTATCTATTCAAAGTTATGGATTGTTGGTATTATAAATTCTGTTTTTTTGTGTGGATTATGTTGTCTCCTTTAAGTGTCCAACTTTGCTTTGGGCTCTATTCCTAATTGGATAAAGTGTGATAATTTTACTCAAACTGATTTTTATTATTGCTTGATGTTTAGTGATTGCACATTTTATTTGGATACAACTACAAGTGTTAAGTTTCTTCAAAAATTTATTTTTCTCCCACCTTAATGATTATGATTTTTAGTCCTTTTCTCCTATTTTTATCACATGTGGGTACATAAATTGTCCCTTTGATATAATTTTGTTTGATACTTTGGTGATTCATTTCCGGTGTGTTTTAGACATGGATTTTTTAGAAGTTAAGTTTGGTTTTTCTTACCTCTTTGAGCAAGTTGTCTACTTGTCTTACATATCTTGTGTGAAGTAAGGGAATTTCATGTACAATCTCATCTTTACTTCTTAAGTTTTCTAAATTTATGCTTAATTTACTTGTAAGAATAGAAACATGTGGTAAATCAAACTTTTAATTTAATAAGCTAAAAGCAAGTTAAATTGTATGAAAAGAGAGAGTTTAGGCAATAATTAAACCCTATGTAAAGGTTTGGAGTTTAATCAGACAAAAGTGCTTTTGTAATGCGTAAAGTATAATACTCGTTTGAAGTTTCCTTACATGAGTTCTAGGATAGGTGATGGTTGAATTTGAAAGGTTTTTGTAAAATGACCCCTTTTGTTTTGTTGTTGCATTATATCATTATATGGACTAACTATTTTTTTGTTCTGTCAGCATTAGGAATGTCAAAAACTACTTCTTCAAGCTTATCTATTGCATCATATAGTGAAAAAAGCAATTCCTCAACAAGTCTTCCCACACCAAGGTCTGAGGGTGAAATCTTGTCTTCTCCTAATCTTAAGGCTTTCTCATTCAATGAGCTGAAGAACGCCACGAGAAATTTTCGCCCCGATAGTCTTCTTGGTGAAGGAGGATTTGGTTATGTTTACAAGGGATGGATCGACCAAAACACATTTACAGCCACAAAACCTGGATCGGGAATGGTTGTTGCTGTGAAGAGGCTTAAGCCTGAAGGTTTCCAAGGCCATAAAGAGTGGTTGGTATGTGTTTGCTTTCTCACGTTCACATTCCATTCCCTTCTCCTAAAGAAAAGTAAATGCTTTTGTTTTTTCATATACTAATATGCATGTTTATGAAACTTCAATAAATTTCCAGACTGAGGTTAACTACCTTGGGCAACTGCACCATCGTAATCTGGTTAAATTAATTGGTTACTGCTTGGAGGGAGAGAACCGGCTATTGGTCTATGAGTTTATGCCCAAAGGGAGCTTAGAGAATCATCTTTTTAGAAGTAAGTTACCATAACAATTACTCTGCTCCTTCATAATTTGCAGCCTGTTCAGTTTTTTGTCTTAATCACCTTGTCACCAGACAAAAACAGAAAAAAGAAATCAACAAGAATAGGTTATTGCGTCCTTAAGAATGATTTCCTTTATGTGTCAAAATATAAATTTCAGTTTGTTACTGGTTAAAGTAACGACTATTTGAATTCGATTTGCTAAATGCACACACTCGGGAAAAATACATTAGTTTCTAATTCAACGGTTCATTATATTTTACAGGAGGACCGCAGCCACTCTCTTGGGCAGTGAGGATGAAAGTGGCGATTGGTGCTGCCAGAGGACTCTCTTTTCTTCACAATGCCAAATCACAAGTCATATACCGTGATTTTAAAGCTTCTAACATCCTACTGGATGCTGTAAGAACAATGAGAATATAAATGATATAAGTTATTCACTTTTATTATTTGTATAAACTACATTGTGGTTACTTATCATGGATTGGGATTGTAGGAGTTCAATGCTAAACTCTCTGATTTTGGCTTAGCTAAGGCGGGTCCTACTGGTGATAGAACTCATGTGTCTACTCAAGTCATGGGTACGCAAGGATATGCAGCACCTGAATATGTGGCAACTGGTATGATTTAGCTTCACATAAACCATTATAAAGGATTAAAGGTGGTTGATCTAGCTATTAATGTTTATGGTTGGTGATCTTCCATCATTTATTGTCCATTTTAACATGGTATAACACTAAGTAATCCATTAAAGAGTCTAGGTATTACTCCGATCATTAAATTGGTGGAACAAATGATAATAAATGTCTGGCAGATATTGCTCATTACACCGATAATTAGGGTTGATGACCTTAGTGGTTTTCCTTCAGAATTCTAATCCATGTTTTATTTTCAAAACAAGCAATTTTGTTGCACAACTTTTAAGTTGCTTATGGTTTTTTTATGTTATTATGTTCCGTTGGATAGATCAGAGGAAGACTCATTTCACATGTCACATTATATGTAAAACGTTACACCAAAGCTCTCATTAATTGACAGGTCGACTGACGGCTAAAAGTGATGTATACAGCTTTGGAGTTGTGTTGCTTGAACTTTTGTCTGGACGACGTGCTGTTGATAAAACAATGGCTGGTGTGGAGCATAATCTGGTGGACTGGGCAATACCATATTTAGGTGATAAACGGAGACTATTCCGGATCATGGATACAAAGTTGGAGGGTCAATACCCACAAAAAGGAGCCTTCATGGCTGCTACACTTGCTCTACGATGCCTTAATAGGGAAGGCAAGGCAAGGCCTCCAATGACAGAGGTTTTAGCAACACTCGAACAGATAGAAGCCCCGAAAAATGTGGGGCGGAATTCCCAATCAGAACATCAGAGAGGATTCCAGACCCCTGGAAGAAGATCTCCTGCGCCGAATCGGTCTCCAATGCGTCTGACTCCAACTGCATCCCCACTGCTGTCTCACCGGCAATCTGCTCGTGTGCACTAAGCTTATGTTGCAATCATCTGTATGTAATTTTTTCAATTCTATTAGGGTGTGTTGTATGACAGGATGTCTTGATGCATGTACTTAGAATGCAATTTTGCAATAGAATAGTTAAATATCATTTAATTCTGCATCTTTTGTTGTTTTTCTACCCTTTTCCCCTCTGAATGTCTTGTAGATAATAACTAAAGTGAACATTGTTTGCATCCAAGTAGTGACATTAAAACTGTCTACTTCAGTTGTTTTTAGGTGGACAGATGATCATATGCCATGAATATGTGGTAAGAGTTAAGGTGCTTTAAGAACTAAGTAGCAAGTAAAGTTAACAACATTGCAAAAAGCTACATCCTTTTTCATCTATGGAATAGGGCATGGATTAAACTAACTGGAAGAAATTCTAATAGGTTCCTGAATTTAAATTTTAAACAAATATACTTAAATGAGTGGTTAACATATTTTTAAATGTTCAAGGAGCATGTAATAATTTTCACTAGTAAGTTTCTTTTCAAGATTTCAACCAAGGCAAATGAATTTTTGTTCAATGTAGTCCATTTAAATTTTGCAATGTATTATGTTCATGCCAAGACAACAAAAAAGAATTCAAACACAAGGTCCAGAATTCTTATTTCAAGAGCTTTGAACTCAAGTGAAGCAATGAAATAGCAATCAAGGAACTTGGTTGAAGATATAAAAAGGGTGACTCAGTGCCCGAGACTCCTAGTTAGTGGGGTATGGGGAGGGTAGATGTACACAGCCTTGCTTCCACAAGTGGAGAGGCTATTTCCAGGATTTGAACTTGTGACCTTATGGTCACTAAATAACAACCTTACCGTTGGCCAAACTCACCCTCCTTTAGTTGAAGATATGACTAACTGAAAAAACTGTTGGTGCTGTTTGTGATGAGATTAGAGAAAGGAACATTTTCATGGATGAAGGAAGGGAGCTAGTTGAAGCATTAAGCTAGGAATATAGATATAACACTTAATCATATAGCTATGTGGCATTATATATATAGCCTCTTCTCTTATATTGTTTATCTCTTGAGGTGGGGGAAACTTCTTGGTATACATGGTGCACATCATTCATTTTGCTTACAAAAGGGATCAACATCTGTAGGCTTTATTCTAATCTTAAGTGGACCCCTAAGCAACTGATATGCTCTTGATTGGCCTATTGAGCAATTGACATCCTCTTGATTTTGGTCTAGAATTCTCATTGGCTCATACTATTCTTCAAATGTGGTGGATGAATGAGATTGCTTGAATTAGCCATGTTTTGGTCTTGGAGTGTTTGAGGCGAGTACCTGAAAATGGACTGTCATACTCAAGTCAGTATTTATAGTGAATAGTGTAGAGAGAGATAGGTAGAGAAAAGTCAGAGTTAAGTCACGAGATAATCAGAATGTCTGAACCTATGGTGGCTCTGAGTCTATCTGTTGTATCTAATCCCTTTCAGAGTGTGTGGTTATCCCTCCCAATAAATGTCGCTATCAGGAATCGAACTCTCGACTTTTTGGTCATCTTGCGGATCTAGTAGGGCCTTATACCACTAGACCAATGCCTAGTTGGTTTATACTATCCTTCAGATGTTAAATATTAACAAGTTTATCCTACCATTTAAGATTGCTATATATAGAAGAATCATTCTATTCACTTCGTAAATTGTAATATAAGCCAAAGTTTTATGATAGATTCGGTTTAAAATGCTTTGAACATCCAACCAAACCTTGAACAATAAATAAATGTTATAATTGCTCACTAATCAAAATTTTCTTTGTAGAAAATCAATAGAGTATATAAACCTGATGTTTTCTTCCTCCACAAGTAAACTTATCTTCAAGCATCATGTGCCACCAGGAGTTCCCCCAAACACTTCAGTATGGACCAACTTTTCTGATATAATAAAAGAGCCCTTAATGAAGTGTTCAAGGAAACTCTAGGGGAAACCTGAAATATCCCTTCTCAACTACTTCACCAAATCCTTCTTTGCTTCATTCTGTGCAGATAATGTGATATAAGCTCTTATATTTATAGTGTCATGTTACAACAACATTATTTCAGCAAAGTGTGTGTGTATATATACATATATATAAAGTGTTGTGAACCTAGACAGTTGAACAACCAAGATAATTGTAAGTTTACAATAACAGTACTTACCAACAGAGAATCTTTGTGTCAGAGTAGTATCACAATTTTCTTTATTCTCTATCTGTCCATTTGTTACAACTTCTCACTTTTAGTTATTCTCTTACATTAGCAAAATCAAAACATCTTTTTCTAGAATATCTCATGCAAATAATGTGGTATCTTATGTAATGTAAGATATCACTTTGATGTTAGGCCAAGATGAAGAGTTATATATTTAAACTAACCGGCCCAGATAATTGGTTAGTGTCCTCACCATTCATTAAATTTTGAATGTAAATGTGAAAATTTTAAATTTATTTCGGCGCGGTCGGCCATAATTGAGGTTGCAACATTTTGATTTTATCGATATCTATAATCGCATTGCAACTGTGAGTGCAATTGTAACCACATCTTCCTCTCAATAGTTTACAATTATGGTAAATACAACGTAATCACGCAATTTAAAATCATTTAGTGTACTAAATGCTATAGATTCAGCATATATGATCAGAAAAGCTAGAAAGAAGAGATGCCAATATACCATGTCTAAGCACTTTCAATGTTATTCTCTTGCCATCATTTTTCCCACATTTGTGACCAGATTCATGAAAGCTCTATACATTAAAAAGGCCTCTATGGTCCAAATTCTTCATGAATTTGGAGACTTTGAATTCCCTTAGAACAATTCAATTTTATTCTGTTTATATGATTATGGAAGATTAAATCTGAATTTTTTTACTTCTCTGCTGCAAGTGCAAAGATAAATTCCATCTTTAAATGAACTTGTGAAGTGTTTCTTGAAGCAGAGAAAATTGAATATAAATCATTGGTGTGGAACTACTAGTATAGGTCCTCTCAATTTTCTTAATGGAAACATCAAAGCCATTGAATAGTTTACCAATAAGATAACATATTAATCTAAAATCTAAAATTAAATCACAAATGTCTCAATTTTTTTTAAATTACATAAATCACCCCTTCATTTTTCATATACACAATTTAAGTTCTAGTTGTCGTATCCATAAGAACCTACTAGATTATGAGGTGGTAGAACCACACAATGTAAGTACGATATGGAGAAAACACAACTTATGAGGTGGTAGAACCATACATAAATGAGCTTAGATTAACTCCTCTAGTACTTATACTTAGTTCTCATGACCTAAGTGAGCTAAACTCTCTTAAAAATTCAGAAATTGTGTATTACAATGCAATAAAAAAAATCTTAATAGCTCTAAATGAACCTCTTAAATAGTGTTTGCATGATAGCATTTGCGCTCATCGCACTACTTGTGCACTGAGCACAACTCTTCAACTAGTCAGGGCAATGCACCAGCTCGCATTGGGCGCAACATCTACACTAAGCACACCTCCCACTTGCACTAAGCGCACGACTTGCGTTTAGCGTATAAGTTACAGAGGCTACTTAATTTTTGGTCAAATACGCCAAGCGCAGGAGTTGCACTGGGCACGAGTCTTCCTCCGTTGAGCGTGGCACTTGTGCTAAGCGCATGCCTCATCTGTTGTTTGATCCGCTAGCTCAGCCTGATTCCTACGCTGAGCCTGTTTAATCTTTATATGGAAACTTAGCTTTTTCCAATCATTCCTCCGGTTTAAGCCTCTACGCAAACAATTCAATGATGTTGTTACCATTTAGCCTATTAACAAGCCTTTTGTCATGTAAGAGTATAAAATCATTCATTTGAGTTAATTAAAGAGTTATAGTACCACAAAATGGTCTATATTTTATGATTATTTTGGCACTTAACATCTTTCCAAGCTCGTTATATATGTTGTTACCATTTGGGTTGATTAAAGATACAAGCAAGTGATTAACCTAGACACAACAATAGACTATAGAGAGTTGAAGTAGAATGAGATCAATATTGTGAGGACAACCAATATTGAGTGGCCACATGCTATTCTGCCTACGTCCATTGTTTGAAGCGTCTCTGGCGCAAAGAGTCAAGTGCTAAAGGGAATCTATTTTGTACGTGAAAACTAGTGTATCAACTCAACTTTGCATGGGTTCGAGATGTGATACTCGTGCAACTAGAATTAATGTTTTTTTGGCTATGCAAAAGCCAAGTAGATCAGTGCACATCCACTGCATTTTGTTCTTTGCATTCCCCCTCTATTTTTCTGATTTGATGGTGATTAATACCCTAGCCTTGACATGTTACTTCTCCTCTAGACTTATTAATTTATTGAGTGTCTCATACTTTAAGTTTAAATATCCTTATAATTAGTGGCAGACTCACGATCCGAGATTAAGGGATTCAAGTTGTACGGAATGATTCAAAATGTATCAGAATATGACAAATGATATGTATACAATTTTATATAATATGGGTGCAAAAAATATTAAGTATAAGAGTGACATATACACATTTTCAGAGTGATTTATGTGTGACTATAGCATGGTTTATAATATTCTATTTTCCAAAAAAATATTTCTCATGATTTGAACTCATGACTTTGAAGACTTATATTCATAAATTTTTATTGAGTCATTACTAAAAATAAAAGTTAGATTTAACCAAATCATGTTTATCCTCACTTAAATTAACAAGTATCTCAAAAGAGTATATTTTCTTCAAAAACAACAAGCTAAGAATCATAATCATGAAAAAGAGAGAGAATATATTGAGGATGGATTTTGATAATTTGAATAACTTTATTAGATTTTGATGTTTTCAACAACATTACCTAGGGTATTTCCTCAATCTCCCTTTTCTTCTTGACAAACATCATGACCAGGTTCAGCCCTAGAAACTAGAAAGAATTTCATTTTACTTAGATTTCTCCATAGCCACATATATTTTCACCTTTATGTACCTTTACTTTTTCATTACTGTGAGGGCATAATGTCTCTACTATATATAGAACACTTACTAGTTCCTATACATTTGTCTAAAAACAAGATAATAAGTAGGTAGTAACATGAAACATGTGTAATTAAGGATCATTATTTGTTGGTTGTCTCTTGAAGTTCCTCTGAATGCTTCATATGAGGGGTTAACTAATCTAATTCCATTAGAAAGGAAAGTCCTACTTCAATGAAGTGTTTGGGGGAACTCCTAGATTCAACTAACACTATATATATAGCTAGTAGAATGAACAAAATTCATTTCATTCCCCAAATGGGTATTTGTTCATTAAAGAAGAGGAATCAAATTCATTTCATTATTCAAGTGTTTAGGGCAACAACTATGCTGAACTTCACTCATGGGTTTTACTCTTCTTATAACTAAGCACATAAATTTACAACATTGTTTATTTTCTATGTTAGCTAATGGCCTTTGCATATTTCTCTGATTCTCTCCATATTTTGCTTTGTCTGATTGTATTTATGGACATAGCTTTGATCAGTATTTGTACTGGTTAAACTCCATGACTTTATATAAATTTCCAAAATCAACAATCAAATTACATGGGTTGAGAAATTTCTTGCATTAGATAACTACTCAATCTCTACAACCTCCATGTAAATTCTTATCAACCTGTCTATGGAAGTTGCGTTCTTTGAAAATCGACATCACCCTCTTTATATACTTACTATAAATGTTGTTTTAAGTTGTAGATGCGGTTATGTTACATTTATTGTAATTACAAAAATTTTGGAAAAAATGTAGCGGTCACAATTGTGATAGTGAATATTGCCATTGCGGAATAGAATTTGAACACAAACTATAAAACACTTCTTGACTATCATTTACTCCTCCTCACTTTCATCCCTTCCATTTACTTATCTTCTTTGAATGCATTCATGATCTTGTGAAGAAGAATGTTTTAATAATTTGAATTTTGGAAAATTCTCTAAATTTTCCCCTCTTAATTTAAAAGATGGCCTTCTAACTTCCATATGTTTTACAAATAGTGGTTTGGCTAAAAATTCACTCTATGCATCTTTCCAAAACTTTTAATGTTTAAGACTATGCACGCATGATAAATTTTAGATAAAAATATACTTATTAATTATTCATATATTTTTATAGTAAATTTCTCATTATAAATTTGATCCCAAATCCAATAAGTGAAGAAAAATAATAATTTTGTAATTAAAAAACTATTACTTGAATAGAGTAGTTTTATTTCATTCAGTATGTGCATTGGAAGAGAAATTATGACTATTAAATTAGATGGTAAAATTATTTAAATAAATAAGAGTAGATTGAAATAAGTTAAAAATCTAAACATAAAAGTTTTAGAATTGGGGAAGTAGCATTTATAACATATGTTCAACATTTGATCATATTTTGACTGAGATTTTGGAATTAAAGGCAATTAAATAATTAGGAAAAGTAAAAAAAAGTTATTTAGGTGAGAAATCATTTTAGTTAGCCATTAGGGCAACAATATTTAATTATAATTTGTAATTAATATTAATTGAATAATAAAAAATATAAAGAAATATAGATAATTATTTTAAAGCTTGAAAATAATATATTAATTCTAAATAATAATAATTAATAATTAAAGAAGAAGAAAATTATATTCAATTAAAGTGGTGTTCTTGGTTAAAGATTTCAATTTATCAATGATTGAATTAAGAGTAAAATTTTTAGCTATTTATTTTTTAATATAAATCACCATATTGACTACAAGAAATATATCTTCTATTTTACTACATAGTTTTATTTGGTTGTCTTCGTTGCTGGAAATTATAATCTCATAGTAATTAAACCATAATAGTTAAGATAAGACGAATAACTTTATCAAGCAAATAATATACATTTACTTTTCTCGTGCACTTAATTCAAAAATGATTGATTGTGAGTTTTTTAAACATAAATGACTAGCGAAATTAACAATAAAGT